CAAAATAATGATCTTTAAAATATCATCATATGACCCCTTTAAATTGAAAAGTGAGAGTAAAGACATTTATAATCGTACAAAATAATTATATTTCAAATAAATGCTCTTGTTCATAATTTAAAATGGCAAACCTTTTATTTGCACAGCCATTGATTATTTTTATATTTATGCATTTGCCAGAATACATTGCATTCAAGGCACATTTTATCAGTTCACGCATTTCCTGAGAATCAGACTCATAGTGCCGTATGTTACTGTTTGTACTGCAGAAACAATAGTCCCAAACAATAAATACATAAAGTGCAATTTTTGCATCAAGAAAATCTCAAAAACAATGTAAGCTTATATATATATATATATATATATATATATATATATAATATCTCTTTTTTTTTTTCTTCTTCTTCATCTATCTTTAAAATATCATCATATGACCCCTTTAAATTGAAAAGTGAGAGTAAAGACATTTATAATCGTACAAAATAATTATATTTCAAATAAATGCTCTTGTTCATAATTTAAAATGGCAAACCTTTTATTTGCACAGCCATTGATTATTTTTATATTTATGCATTTGCCAGAATACATTGCATTCAAGGCACATTTTATCAGTTCACGCATTTCCTGAGAATCAGACTCATAGTGCCGTATGTTACTGTTTGTACTGCAGAAACAATAGTCCCAAACAATAAATACATAAAGTGCAATTTTTGCATCAAGAAAATCTCAAAAACAATGTAAGCTTATATATATATATATATATATATATATATATATATAATATCCCTAGTTCTTCTTTTCTTCCTCTTCATCCACTAAGAATCTCAAATGGGTTATGATGCACCACATCTGCAAAATGACACAAACAGTAGTATTTACAGATAAATGTCTTTATTATGACAGTAGTAATGCTGGGTAAACATGCTCCTCACCTCAACTGCAAAGCCCAGCAAGCGTCCTGCTGCCAGAACCAGAATCCCCAAAACCTGTAGCCAGTTTGGGGCATAGAGAGTCTGCGACAGCACCTCATGCTGGTAGCCATACAGCCACACAGGTAAAACATGGAGCCCTGCTATTGTCAGAATGCCCAAAGGAGTCTTAAAGCCTGCATGAAGAATAACAGCATTCATCAGGGATTTTCACAATTAAAAGAGTTAACTCTGGGTCATTCTAAACCCCAGGTAAATGGAATCCTGGGTAATATTGCTTCACGTTTCACATATCAAATTTTTCCTGAGTGAACTTTTTGGCCTATAAAAGTAAAAATCAAAAAGTCTCTTTTTTTACCAATGCGTTTTCAGTCACCATTTCTACTGTTTTTTACTGTTTATAAACAGTGTTTCCCACTGTACAAGTTTGGCACCATAATGCGGGTTATACAGGGTTTCATTACCCCGGGTAAAAAGTGGTGCTAACCCCCCTTTTAAAGGGGTTAAATGTGGGGTTTAGAATGTTAAGTGCAACGTGAAAAGCCGTACTTCTGTACTTTTATACATTTTACAGTTTAAAAATAAAAAAAATTACTTGTCATACCTTTTGCCATCACTGCCCGCACCCAACCCGGGCTCTCCGTGAAAGAGTTCTTCCATTGGGCACCTCTGGCATTATGGTTGCACACAAATACACACCACTCCACTGAAGACACCAGCCAGCCCCACTTCACAAGCACAGAGATCAAAGTCATTCAAACTAATACAAACATGTTTGGGACAAACAAAAACAAACCTCTACTGACTGAACTTACATCATAAAGCATGTTCCAGAGCATACCACGTCCTAGGTTGTCGATGACCACATCCAGCCACGCTCCGAACCTGGAGGTCTGCTGCAGGCGACGTGCCGCCCAGCCATCCACCCCTGGCACAAAGATAAAATACCAAATCAATAAATGTAAATATGAAAATTCTTGAAATACACTTTAATTAGTGAACAAGTAAAAAGATTTGTTCACCAAGGTTGTGTCCTGCAGTGACATATTTGTCAAAGCTCATACATATATACACATATACGCACACACACACACACACACATATACATATACATATACACATATATATACACACAGTATCTCACAGGAGTACACCCCTCACATGTTTGTAAATATTTTATTATATCTTTTCATGTGACAACACTGAAGAAATGACACTTTGCTACAATGTAAAGTAGTGAGTGTACAGCTTGTATAACAGTGTAAATGTGCTGTCCCCTCAAAATAACTCAACCCACAGCCATTTATGTCTAAACCGCTGGCCACAAAAGTGAGTACACCCCTAAGTGAAAATGTCCAAATTGGGCCCAAAGTGTCAATATTTTGTGCGCCCACCATTATTTTCCAGCACTGCCTTAACCCTCTTGGGCATGGAGTTCACCAGAGCTTCACAGGTTGCCACTGGAGTCCTCTTCCACTCCTCCATGACAACATCACAGAGCTGGTGGATGTTAGAGACCTTGCGCTTCTCCACCTT